TACAAGGAACGGCGTCCGCATGTCTTTCACGTGGCGGCTTTCGCTTTCGTCTTGACGCTTTCAATACTTCCCTTTGGCTCAGAGTTGCCTTCAAGGGCACATCGAACTCCTCTGTAGGTCCTGCCTCTCCTGGCCAATGCAAGTAGCATATATATGTGTGTTTTGTGACACGATCTACTGTAAAAGCTTTACCTCGACAACAAGCATTAACCCATCTAGTACATCTCTCGAGTCCTTGGGACTTCTTTGGGAACGGTAGAAATATCGGTTTACCTTCCTGCAATCTCTTCTTTAGCGCCGGGTGAAGCAAATCAGGATATCTAGAATCACTCTTACACTCTCCCCAAAAGCAGTGCTTTGTCGCGACCATTTACAGCACAAAATATTCGACAACAACTATATATTCTTCCCTTCGACTCACTATTCTTTAGCAATGTTTGTCCGACCTTTGCGGGGGGTCCAAAGTTGACGTAATCTATTTTTAGAACGTCCGCGCATCGCTATTAAGACCTCTACGTGTTCACGCTTGAGATGGTTTGTCTGTAACACCTATAAGTATTTCTCTATGCACTGAAATATTAGACGCTGATTGGCTGAGTGAGTGTGACCATATTCTACAGGTAGGTTCAGCATGATCACATGCACAGCCGAGCAGGATGTTAGCAAACGTAATGTCCAAACTCGAGCACGTTACCATTGGGGGCCTCATCAAAAAAGACGACTTGAATGATTCTTATTTTCTACTCGCCTTCTTCGTAATCTCTCCTCCCCAAGCCTCCCCAAAACCCACAAGGAACGCCTGGCTACGCAGGCTATCAATGGCCTGAAGTCGAATCTTCGGTTAGTCTTGTACTATACGCACTTAAGGGAGTGAGCGTTGTGTGACGACACTAATACCGGTTGCGTGGGAGACTAATCTTCGGTTGAACTCRCACAACTCACACAAGCTTGCAACAAGCAGCGAGCAAACGTGATTTCGATTTCAAGCAGCAGGCAAACAGGCAGCGAGCAATGTCCAAACTCAAGCCCATTACCATTGGGAGCCTTATCAAAAAAGACTTAAATGATTCTTATTTTCTACCTGCCTTTCCTTCTTCGTATTCACCGGGATATCGCTTTAACAACGACAAGAAGTACCGTGTATACGACTGTCCTCCGCCTTCCAAGGTTTACAGTACTGTAATCTATCCCTCTGGGTTTCTACCGACAGTAGGAGACGAAGTAGCCACACTAATAGACTACGATCCTCCTGAGTTTCTGCTACGACACTGGAAAACATGGCTTCCAGCCTTCCCTACTGCACGCCTGAAAACCGTGGACGAAGGCTTGAAGGATGATCTACTGATTGTCACCAATGGGCCTATACAGTCTATCCCAGTGCACAAACACTCTATCGACCCTGATGTGCACTATCAGATACTACGGAAGAGTTCATTGCTTGACATCGATGCTCCGTCTCCCAAGAACTTGACTCAAGAGAACCTGTCCTTTCCATGTGTTGTGAAGGTCGATATAAGCTGGTGTGGGCAGGGAGGATGTGTTGTCCATAATGCCAAAGACTTGAACGACGTTCTTAAAGAAATCAGGCAAGAAAATGGTTGGAAAGACACTATTATCTTCCAAGAAATGATCCAAGGTATCAAAGAGGTACCAAGTTTTCAATTTTATTTGCAAAAATCTGGTGACGTTCACTGGATTGGCACAAGTGTTGGGGGCTTTGATGATGACGCTGAAGTTAGCCGGACATTCGCAGAGGTCAAGTTAGATATTAATAAGTGCTACCAAAATTCTCCTGATTTATATATTGATTTTAAAATACTCCATTTCGGTGAGGAATCCAACATGCTTTCTTTCTAAA